GAGTTAATTCCTTCACATAACCAACGGCTGCTTCCCAGCGGTCCCCTGGCGCTGGCTGGCTCTCCTCAGCGTGCAGGGAACAGAGGGGCCTGGATGCTGCTTTGAAAAAAGTGTTCCTATGAATGACAAAAGCTGAGTGTTCTGTTCATGATATTTTTTCTGTTTTGTTTTTTAGAACAAAGCGGTAAGGCTCAGGTGCTTTCCTTGTTTTTTATTTAGTTGTGTCTTCGGTGTATTTCTGAGAATAACAATCCCACATGATTTATTTCTCATTCGCTTCGGGTACAAGAGGCTTTGTCACTTTTCAGGCACCATCAGGAAGAAGTGGCCTCGGCAAAGACTAGGACCTGACCGGGACTGAGGTTTTCTGAGGTTTACTTGGTATACGGAGAATGACAGGAAATTAGCCCAAGAGCCTATGGCAGCTGTGTGGCCGAGGTCCCTTTGCTTGGAGCAGGAAAGGCCGGCTTTATTTGATCTTGTCCATTTCACTTGATTGGGTTTTGCCGCCGAGGTGGTCTGAGGCTAGAATGTGCTGGAATGTCTCTTCAAGGCTGGATCTGGGGACACAGAGTGACCGTCTGCCTGGGCTGTGGCGCCCTCGTCCACCAGTGCGGGCGTCACCGACGACCCGCCTAAGGGGAAGCGAACTTGGCCACGTCTGGGTCCGAGATGTGCGTGTGGTGACAAACTCCTACATCGCCATTAAAAATGCATTTGGAGAGGCTTAACAGCCATGCCCGAGATAAATATCTCCACTGGCTCTTAAACCTTAATTAAATGTTTTAGTATTAATTGCTATTTATTTAAGGGGCAAGAAGAGCCTTGGTAAATCCGCGCGACCCTTCTGGTGGCTCTCCGCCAGGCTCGTGCCCAGGCATTAATTGCGACAATGGGGACACCTAGGCCCCAAATGTTTTGCTGTCAGCGAGTGATGAATGGCCGGCCGACAGGCGGCAGCAGAATCTGCAGCGTTTATCAAGGACGAACGAGGCCGGGTGCGTAGCCTGCCTGGGCCCGTCTGTGGGGCGTGGAGGTGGCAGGAGCGAGCTGTGGCTTTGCGTCCACCGTCGAGGTGGCCGAGCACAGTGGGCTCGGACCGAGTGCCGGGGCTGCTGTCCCCTGCGCAAGCCACCCACCCGGGACCCAGGGCAAGAGGGTCGGCTCTGCGGACACGCTCCCTCCTGTGGATGCAGGGGGGCCCCGAAATGGCTCCCAGGGAGCAGCGGTGTCCAGACACCGTGCCGCCCTGGAGCCAGGTGGCCCAGGGGTGCCCTGCCCCTACACTGACACCCTGACTGACCTCGGGCGAGGCTCTTTGCCCCTCCGGGCCTCACCTTCCCCGCCTGTAGATGGGGTTGCAGGAGGACCGAGCGAGCTCCAGGACGTCAGGCGTGCTCGGACAGGTGGCAACCCCGGAGGACTGTCACGCCCAGCCGAGGCCACCTGAAGGCAAGGGGCGTCCGCCTCCTCCGGGCCTGGGGACCCGCAGCTCTTGGACGAAGGAAGCGGACGCCCGCACTGGTGGACAAACACCCTGATCGCTGCAGGTCTCTGCAGTTTGCAAACACGATCACCCCCATGCTCTGGACATCAAATGAATGTCTTCAGCTCTTACGCATTTTAAAATTCCTAGTGGAGGTGCTGGCGGCCCCCAGGCAGGCGGGGACCTCGTTAATGGGCAAGGCTCCCCGCTGCGTGGCTGGTGTGGCAGGAGCCAGGGAGCTCTCTGCGGCCTTGCGGACGTGAGGCGTGGGCACGCCCAGCACCTCCAGTTCCTTGAATGTGGGGACAGAGGGCGCGTCACCTGCCTGCCAGCAGCCTCAGCAGAGGCCCGGGGGCAGGGGCTCGCTTTCCGCGGATCTAATTGCGATTCTTGGCCCCCCATCGCTCAACATAACGCTAGGCAGGTCGTTCTGTCCACAGGACGCGAGGTTGCAGGTTTGCCGTGGAGCGACGCACTGTTCACTAGGACTGGGGCTGGGAACGGACTGATCCGGTCCTGCTTCTGCTTCTTGAAGCAGCCGGCTCCTCCGGCCCCAGCTGAAAGCCGCGAGCGGAGTCGCCGGTGGGGACCCCCGTGCGCCCCAGAAAACGCCTCCCGCCCTGGGCCCCTCAGCCCACTCTGACGATGGCTTTGCCCGTTCAGTCCCCAGACGCCAAGGTGAATGGAGTGAGAGCAAGTGTTTCCGAATGTCAATCTGCGTCCTAGATGCCCCGCCCTGGGGAGGGGTCCGAGGTCACGCTTAGGAGGAATATCTGGGGGGCCGAGAAGCCCTCGATGGGGGAGACAACGGGGAGCCTTAGAAAACGCGGCCTCCGAAAGAAAAACAAAGTGAAAAAGAAGCAAACTCGGGGCGTGCGCCCTCAGGCCGGCAGGGTGCGGCCCTCCCCGCAGCAGCCCCAGGCCCAGGGCTCGGCACCCAAGAAAGCGATTCAGCCTCCGCATTCAAGTTAATGTCGTTGAAAGCCGCCGAATGTTCCCAGCCAGCGGAGCGAGGAAAATTCATCCTGCTTTGCTGCCTCTTTCTGGCTTGCAATTAGCCGACATCTCAGCTCTTTACTTTCTTTATCATTTTCTTTCTTCTCTCCTATTTTTATATTTCTAATTCGTATTTTAATTCCGCCGTGCGCCAGCCTCGGCCGGTGCAGTGACCGGGGCCCGAGGCGGGATGCTTGCGCGCCCAGCCATGCCCCGATGGCTTCCTGCGATCGTAGCTCCTCCCCAGGACCGATCGTCCCATCCCGCGGGCCACGCCTGCGGCGGTCTTCCCTGGGGACCGACTGACCGGCACGGACAGAAACAGCCACAGTACTGAGTCGGGGTTCGAGGGTGTCTGTTACTCCCCGCACGGGACGTGGGGACGTTTCTAACGAGGGCAGCAGAGAGAGAACACACGCCCAGGCCTCTGGTTTTCTCAGCAAGGAAACGCCACTGCAATGCCACCGCCTCGTCACCGTGCGGGAAGGGCTCCCCGTCCCCCCAGAGGGAGGACGGGGGTAGGGGACACCAGGCAAAGGGAGAAGAGGGTCCGCGTCCGAACGGGAGGGAGGTACATACCGTGAAACAGACACATGGCGTCTGCCCTGCCCCCGGGAGGTGAAAAGGACTTCGCCAGTCAGCAGGAGATTTCAAACCACTTCTCAGACACGAAGGCCACAGGAATGAGGTGCCGATCGGAGGACGAGGGTCTGCGGGGTACAAAACGGGCTGCACGTGCCGCGGCAGGAAGCCGCCTTCTCCGCCCCCGCCCCCGCCCCGATGGTGACGTCCGGCCTGGACCCCCCGGGCCTTCGGCGGGGAAGGGACCCGCCCCCTCTCCATGCCAGCACACGCCCTCTGCCACCCTGGCCAGCCTTGCAGGACACGGAGCCTGAGGGGTCCCTGCGCAGGCCGGACGCCTGGTGTCCCAGCGCAGCTCGGCCACCTTCAGATTTTCATATTTCAAGTGTGGGACGAGCACAAAGCTCAGGGTCTCTGCCTGGGAGAGCAGAGACTCAACCTACGGTGTCACACGCAGAGTCAGGGCCGGGCCGCACTCCTGACACGCGTCCCCGTGTTTTGTCACCTTTGAGACTAGGCTACCAAGGCCAGTGAGAGCCGGCAGAGGGACCCGAGGCCGAACGGCACGAGGCTTCTCCATTCGCGCTCTCACTCTGCACGTGACACGGGGCAGAGAGCAGACAAAGAGAAAGGACAGTGACGGAGGGACCGGCCGCTCCCCGCCCCCCGCGGCCAGGGCTCCTGTCCAGACCAACACGCACGCAGCGCGACGGTCCGCAAACTCCTCTGCCAAGTCTCCCCAACTCAGCCCCTCCTTCTCCACGTTCTGCCTCCGGGATGGGGACGCCTGGGACAGCACGGGGCGGGGTCTGAGGGGGGACACAAGATGCGGGCGGCGAGGAGTGTTAGGAGGACACACCGTCCCCACAGACGGGACGAGGCTGCGGGAGCTCCGGGCGCTGCGACCGAAAGCCCCGCCCCCACCCCGGTCTCCCGCTCACTGCTGAAAGACGCCCATTCAGCCCCGTGTCCCCAGACGCCAGTCCCACCGACAGTGACCCCAGTGTCCCCAGACGCCAGTCCCACCGACAGTGGCCCCGTCAAGCTGGCCTGGTGTGCTACTCATTTGACCCCAAGATTAATTTGTCGGAGAAATGTTTTTAATTCATAAAGTGAGGCATGAGTACGTGCTCACTTAGAAAAATAGCTCACGGATGCTTCCATCCAATTCCGGACAGACCTTCGGCAGCCGACTCGGGGATTCTGAAGTTGTCCCGGGCACGGGTTCAGGGCCACGTCTCCCTCAAAGGGTGACGCATGATTAATAAGAGAGCAGCATTTGCGGGCGGGAGTCCGGCCGGAACTTGCTATTTTTGCCAGACTCGCCGCCGACATCTTATTCAGAGAGCGCGGCCGGGCAGGGCCGGTGGACACCGGCTGATGGAGTTAGGAGGCCGCGGCCGCAGAGCTGGCTTCGGACTCCGGGTGGGTCGCCAGCTCGGCCCGCACTGTGGGGCGTCGGGGTGGGAAGGCGCCCTCTGTACCACCCCACGGCAGGTCCAGAAGGGACTCTGGCGGCTGCCGCGGCCCCTCTCTTGGTGGCGAGACGCCTGTTCACCCCGCCCCTCGGCTGCATCCGAGTGGACCCTCGGACACCCGTGGACGATGCGCCCCTCCCGCCCGACGCTGCACCACCAGGGGCTTGCGGGGCGGCCCGGCCCCAGCTCAGCTTACCGGTTCCCGTTGAAGGTGGACTTGTACTCCCCCGCCGAGTGCAGCGTCTCGTCGGTGTACACGGGCACCGACGCCCGCACACACTCGTGTGAGCACTGCAGGGTCTCGTTATAGGCCGTGAATATGTCCAGGCTGCTGGGCACCCGGGCGGGCGTGAAGTCCGTCAGGTTCTGACAGCTCTCTTCCTGCTGGTTCATCTTCCGCTGGTGGCTGTTCCTCCGAGTGTTCCCGCTTTGGGCACAGCTGGAAGAGAGAGGGGGCGGGGTGGGGCCGGAACCCCCAAACGCGGCTCTGGCACCGACGCTGCTTATATGTCACTGAACATCACACGGTGATTCCCAGCCTCTTCAGAAAGATGCCCCTCCGTCCAGCAATCGGCACATTTTTTAAAAACAGAATCTGAATTTTAAATATGGCCGTTACTGTAGGGAGGGTTGTCAGGTGAGTGGCTAGGCCGTCCTACCCCGAGCCGAGGCCTCGTTTGGCCAAAGAGTGTCAGACGCAGAGGGTGCTGCCTGTTTCTCCAGGGAGGCCTGGCGGGGTGAAAACTGGTGGGTCCTCATGGGGGAGCGTTTGGGCACAGGTTGGGGTGCCCTGATCATCCGTTTCAGAATGGAGCATGCAGTTATCTCTGGAGACAGTAGGGAGCCCCACTCGGCCACACATACAAGTTGGAAATACCACTAGACGTCCGTCCTTCACCCCCATCAGGTCGATGGAGAGGACCATCCTGTGGGCCCAGAAGACACCTGTCCCCGTCCCTCGGGGCCACAGAGGCTCCCAGATGCCACAGAGGAAGGAGGACGGGCGGGGAGTCCGATGACGTGACCATCATGGACCCCCTCCCTGCCCCCAGGTGTCACTCTGGCAAGCTCACAGGGAAGTCCCATCCCCACGAAAGAGGCAGCTGGGAGGAAATGTGGTGAGCCCCACTTTGGGGGACCCTCAGGGCACCAGTGCCTCTTCCCCCCGCTCCCCCGCTCTACCTCGGAGCTTATGCAGATGAGCAGGCTGCAGGGCAAGGCGGGGTTTGTGACCTGCCTGCCTGTGACTAGAGGGGAACCCCGATTACTGGCACGGGAGCCCCATTAATGAAGGTGAGAAGGTGCACACCACAGCCAGGGACCCCAGGGTCACAGAGCCCACTAGTCCGTCTCCTGGGCCACAAACCCACACGTGGGGGAAAGCCAACAGGGAGCTGGCCCGCTTGTCACACACAGGTCCCACGTCTGCTGTCTCCTCGGGGCAGGGGCTTTGCCTTCGAGATGGTCGGTGGGACGTGCCGGCCGTGCTTCCGTGTGGCGGGCCCCGCCCTCGAACCCGGCTGCGAGCCGAGGGCTGTCCTCATCGCCTGTCCCGGAAAACGGCCTGGGCCCTGGGCTTGCTGGCCATCGCTGGCTCGGTGTGAGGCCACCCTCTCCGGCCTCCCGCAGTGCCGGGGCCTGCCGTCTGGGGCACTGTGGCCGTCGGGTCCGCGGGCAGCTCTCGCCCACCGGCCCCTGCGGGAGCCGGGGAGCACCTGGGCGGTTATGCCCTAGGGGAGCCACTCGGCTGGAGGAGTGGCTGCAGGCAGGCGGGGGTCACCAGCAGCTCCCCGATTTTCCCAGGGGTGTAGCAGGTGTGTACACCCAGCAAGGCCAACCTCAAAATAGGCCAATTTCCAGGAGGAAATAGGCAAAGACAGGCTGCCTGGAGCAAAGCGGTAACCTAATTCCGCAGACTCAGAGCGGCTGGCCGAGGACGGAAGGCTGGCCCAGCGTCAGCGCCTGTGACAGCACCTGTGACAGCCGGAGATGGTACAGGGCAGGCTCGGACCGCGCCCAGGCCTCTGGTGGGAAGTAAACAGGGTGACCCGGGTGGCCAATGTCCAACAGTACATCCGCGTCCGAGAGAAAGGACTCGGAAGCAGAGACGGCTGCCGCCTGAGACGCTGAGGCAGGAGGCCGGGCTCCCTCGCCTTCTGCAGAGAATGTCACGTGAAGGGGCCACACCCATGGGCGGTGACAGGGGTCTTGGCGCCTGCGGCCAGCCATGCTGTCCGCTGTCCCCGGGCCCAGGTGAGCGGGGTGCTGGAGGGCACAGGAACAGTCTCCTGTGCTGTGGCCTGGGGCCGACGTGCAGAGCAGCATCTTTCTGTGTGCACCTCCCGGGGCCCCCCAGCCCCCCCCATTTCCAGACCAGAAGGGCTGAGGATCCTTACCAGTTTTTTAAGACAAGAGTTGTAATCAGAGCAGCTATGACCATGATGAGGGAGACGGTGATGGTGACAATCTGATGGACAGCCAGACCTGGAAACAGAGTGTGGGGGAGGGCACACGTGAAACCAGAGTCATGAGGCGTAGGGGTCCAGGCAGGGGGTGTGGGGGGCCATTCCTCTGTCCTGTCACCCTGGCTGTGAACGCCAGGCCCCTCCGGGCGCAGCCTGCACACGGCCCGGCACGGGGCCACAGAGGGTGGCCGTGGGGGCAGAGGACGGCACTCAGCCTCCTTCTCCACCCCGCCCGGTGCTGGCGGGCGCTGTGGGCACCAGGGCTGCTCTCACCCGGAGTCCGGGAACGGAGGCCCCAGCCCCAGCCTCTCGCCCCGGCCTCTCTCTTTCTCATGGCTCCTCAGTCCCCGAGCCGTGACCTGGCCTGTAGGCAGCCGCGGAGCCCCTCACCTGGCACAGGTAAGCGCTAGCCGAGGCCTCCCCGGGACCCTCCTTTCTCGCCTGCCCCCTGGGTGAGATCTGCTCTCTGCTTCTGAGCGCCAGGGCAGCTGGCCTGCAGGTGGGGCAGGATTTAGCTGACTCACTGGGAAGGCGGGGTGCTTGGGTCGTCGGGGACATCCTCCTCTTTCCAGAGACCGCTCCAAGCTCGTGGCCTGGTGGGGTCCCGGGGCGGGCGTGTGGCCTAGCCCTGCTCTGCATGTGCATGTGCACGGTGGGGGAGGGGCGGAATGAGCGGGACAGGGACAGAAGGACCGGCCACTCCAGAAGCAGGGCAGCCAGAGCCTCGACCACAAGCGGTCTGCTAAGCCCCCAGCCCGCACCATCTCCCGCCAGCCGCAGACGCAGGGGCGAGAAGACAGGCAGGCCGGCAACAGCTCCCACCTCCAGTCCCCGCCCCGGCTTGGTCCCTGCTGATGACTCATCTGTAACATCCCTCCCGGGACATACACACAAGGGACACACCCTGGTGGACTTCAGTGGTCAGTTGGGGATACCTGGAAGGTCCAGGGCTCTGGCCCTGTCCTGCCGTCCGCAAGCACCTCACCCGAGAAGCTGGGTGACAAGGTGCGTGAGGGGCTGGACAGAGACCCCTGCAGGGGCGGCACGCTGCCCCGCGTTGCTTCGCCTGGGAGGTGGGAGCGTCGGTCTCTCTCTCTCCACTCCTGGAGCCCAATCCTGACGTCCATTGCACAGTCCCACCCATCACATCCAAGGGACCCGGTGCGGCCTGGGCGAGAATGGCCACGTGTGGGTTCCGGCGTGGAGGGCTCCGAGGGCGAGGGTTTTCCGGCGGCCTCCCAGGGACACGGTCTCGCAAACAGATGTCCCTTCTCTACTGAATACGAGCCTCGTGTGTGTCGGGGGGATTGCTAATAAATGGTTCTCTCCCCCGTCAGCCCCTCTTCCGTTTGTCGGCAGGGGTTCCCGTCCTGAGCCCACAGGATGAGCACCACTAGGAAAACTGGAGGAAAGAAACGATGTCATGGGCATCCCTCATTCCTTCATCCAATGGTTCGGGAACCATGTATGAAGCACCTACTGTGTTCCAGGCAGTGCCAGTTTCGACCGGCTCGGCTACGGTGCCCGCCCTCAACAACGGCTGCTCCGGTGGCCCCCCTTATTTGAAGAAGCGACATTCACTGCCGCAGTGCCCCATCTACGGCATCTGTGGGAAAGCTCTAGACGACTTACTTTCCCCTCTAGGACTTGCCAATGAGACTAAGCTAATTATGTCGCATGAACCCCGCCCTCGATCTCAGCGACCATGGACTGTCCGCCAGCCTCAGCAATCCCTGTCCCGCGACACGACTCAGACACTGTCGACAGAGGCGACTGAAAAGAAGGCCCCGTTGATCGGGCACCTGGGGGGTGGCTGCAGTGTCCCCTCGCCTTTCATCCATACACTGCTGGCCTGGTCCAGAGACCACCAGGCTGTTTTGAAGACGATGTGTTCATCCTGGGTCTGTGCTTCCTGTGGTGGGAAGGAAGCTGGTGATGATGCTGATGCTGGTGATGATGGTGGTGATTATAATGCTGATGGAGATGGTGATGACGATGGTGACGATGATGATGGTGATGATGGTGGTGATTATAATGCTGATGGAGATGGTGATGACGATGGTGATGATGGTGATGACGATGGTGACGATGATGATGGAGATGACGATGGTGACGATGGTGATGGTGACGATGATGATGGCGATGATGGTGACAGTGATGATGGTGATGACAATTACCACAGGCACACTTGACAAGTGGTAGCAATTGTTACGGGTGTATTATTGCATTAATCCTGGCGATAACTCTCAAAGGTAGATATTCTCATCGTAAATTATGGAAGTGAAAACTATCCGGGTGAGTCTGTGTACATTCCTTCGATCATATAGGACCTGCCGGTCCCCGATTACCTACCGAGAACAGTAGCGTCATGTGGCTCCGTGCTCGGCCTCCCTCATCTCAGCTTTGGCCTTGACCCGGCAGCCTCAGTTTCTCCCACAGAGAGACTGGCATCTCTCCCGTCTACACTCCTGGGCAGAACCAGCTTCTAAGTCCTGGAGGCGGGTGCTTCAGCCTCACCACCGCTCCCCGTGACGGACGCCTTGGGAGGGCTCCGGGCCCAGAACAGGTGCCTCTCAGCCCTTTCCCGGCAGGTCAACCACGATCCCCACAGCGAGCAGTAAGTCTTTGTTTCTTGGGCTCAATCCACCACTTTCTACGTCAGCCAAAGTCAATGACGTCCGAGACGCAGAGTGGGAGCCAGCGGGAGCAGTGGCGACTGCTGCCACCACGAGGTCAGGCCCAGCGAGAGGCACCGGGAGTCCCCCCCGCAGGACAGCAGAGCACTGCCGCCCCCTCCCCAATGGTCACAGGGCCAGAGGAGGCCCGGCCATTGCCAGATTCTGAGCCCTCAGCTCGTCGCCAAGGGAACCCTCTTGGGTTGAGTGTCAGCAGTGGCCAGAGTCCTTGGAAGGGAAGAGTCCCAGGACCCCCCGCGTCTCAGATGTTTACTTCCCCGCCATCCTCCCTGCGGGCGAGGCCAGGGAGGCACCGAGTCTCCTCTTCCAGTGGATGGAAGCTGAGAACCAGAGGGAAAACCGCCTGCCTCGAGGGAATCTCCAACTTACGACTCTAAGAAAAAGAGCTCAGCCCTTCGCCCGAGGTCCCTGCGAGTCTCTGGGCCTCTTGAGAAAGGGACCAAATCTTCATCGTCTTAAATCCACCCTCGCCCGCCAACACCGCCGGACACAGGAGCCGTGCGACATATTATTGAGTCTATAACTGCGAAGTGGAAAATTAAAAAAACGGGAACAGGAAGGTGAAGCCACGATTCCGACGTTCGCCCTGTCGGGAGGCCCTTCTCCGCCTTCCGGGCAAAATTCCTCCGCAGGACGCGCCAAATTACGACTCAGAGGAAACGCTAGATCTGCGGGCTCGCCACCAGCTGCGGTCCTCAGGGCGTCGCACGGCGGCCACACGTCCTGCACCAGCCTTCGGTCAGGGGGTCACTTTAAGCCACCGCCCGCCCTGCGTTTTCACGCCCGCCCGACGGCGAGGACTCTGACGTGCGAAGGGACAGAACACTTTCCACGGGCGCTCGGTGAGCTGGGATTGGGGAGGAGGCGACCTCCGCTCTAGAGTCCCAGTGACAACCAAACGTCCCACTCCAAGCCCAACGCCCCGTGACCCCATCCTGGTAACAGACTGGTTAGGGACCAACTTCTTAGCCTTCCTCGCGCACGTTGCAGTGGTCCCTCGGCGGTCCCCTTTATCCGCGGGGACGTGGCCCAAGGCTCCCAGGGGACGCCGAGCCCCGGGTGCTGTGTCTCCCTGAACCTGCACATCTCTGACGAAGTCTCATTAGTCACCGCAAGAGGTCAAGGACGATAATACCAAAACAGAACGATGACAACAACAGACGGTAATAGAAGTCATGCAAATGGCTTTGGGGCCATGGTCGAGTATAACCGGGGCGACTTACACACGAGCACTGTGACGCCGTGACAGTCGACCTGATCGCCGAGCTACTAAGTGACCGCTGGGTGGGAAGCGCGTACAGAGTGTTGACGCTGACAAGGGGACGATGTGCGTCCTGGGCAGGACAGAGCGGGGCGGTGTGAGATTTCATCACGCTACCACACGACTAAAACCTCACACCGTGTTTACTTCTGAAATTGCACCTTTAGTCGTCTGGGACCGCAGTCGACTGCGGGAAACTGAAACCGTAGAAACGAAACCGCGGCCAGGCGGGGCGCGGAGCCCGCACTGCGGCGCAAAGCGAACCGATTCGGGCTTCGACGCCTGGCCCACGGGGTCTGCCGGGCCGCTGGCCTCATGCGCACGGAAGAAGGGGCCACGAGGAGACCCCGCAGAGCCCACGGCCACGACGGCTGGACGAGGACCCGACCTTTCCAGGCGTGACGTTTGCAGGAAGCAGGCGGGAAGGCGAGACATCCATGCAGACGCCTCGTCATTTCCTCTCCTCGGGAGGTCGCTGCTAAGGTGACAACAGGACGCGTGAGCCGCTGTGTAGCGCCCAGTCAGCGGGAAGCGTCTGTCACGTCAGGCCTCCCCGAATGCCCGCGCCGTTGCCTCGTCTGTAGGGGTCCCTAAGGCTCCACGTGGATCCCGGGGAGGCGAACCTGGCCGTAACGGGCTGGAGAGTAAGGATCCTCGGGTTCACGGGCAGGACAGCCTCGGTCACGGCTTGTCCATCAGCCCCGCCGTGATGGGGAAGAGCCTCCGGGGACAATATGCACACGATGGGGCGTGGCCGTGTTCCCGCGAACCTTTACTTACAAAAGCAGACGGTCGCCAGCTTTGGCTCACGGGTTCTCTTGGGGGAAGGTGGCGCAGCTTATCAATTAAATGGAAGCACACGGCTGTTTCGAACAATGACTGAAAACCGGGGCCCCGGGCGCACCTCCCTGGTTCTGAAGACGACGGTCTTCGCCCCCCCTCACTGCGGGTTTACCGTCCTCTGCCTTCCCGGGGGCCACGGTCAAGGTGATGTCAGAGAAGCCACGGCCTCTGTCTCACCGAGCTGGGCCGCGGCCGGCTGCACCCCGCCGGGCTGGAGGC